TTACTCTTAAAATAAAGTAATGCCTTATTATTTAATATAATTCCAATAGATTGTATTTACAAGTAGAATACGTCCAATTTGATTGGAACGCCGGGTATCCTACTCTAACATAATGTTGCAGGGAAGGTAGTGCATTCTACAGTTTAAGAGTGTCGAAAAGCTTATATATGCGGCTTGGATTGATCTGGTAACTCCATTTAAAAAGAAAAATAGAAAAGAATGTATATTAATCATCCTTGCTTGAGGTTTCAACATCTAAATCTTATTTGGATATTGGACCAACATTTCAGGCACACAAACTTTTGAAACAGAAGAACCTCTAGATAAGGGAGAAAGTAGGGAAAATAATTGTGAGCAACCTGAACTATACATGTTTTCGGAATTTACAACCTAAAGTATTTTTTTTTTTGGTAAAATGTAACCTGAACTACATACACAATCACTATTTGCACCCTCGACCACATCTTGACCATACACGTACCATTTTTTGCAATTGATTGGACGGTCAAAATGTGGTCGAGGGTGCAAATAGTGATTGTGTATGTAGTTCAGGTTGCATTTTACCAAACAAATACTTTAGGTTGCAAATCCCAAAAACACGTATAGTTCAGGTTGCTCACAATTATTTTCCCGAGAAAGTAAATTATGTCTCATTTACAGTTTACCATATTTCGTTTTCACCTAACGAAATTGTGCAAATTCAATCTTTTGTAAACAATAAATATGTACCCAAACCCCAGGTCGGGTTCTGGTAGAATTATGCTACCTAAACCCCGGCTCGTGTCGATAGGAAAACTCGTTACCCGACCTGAATACCTATTATAAATATAAAAATAAATTAATTAGCATAGGTTTTGTTAATGGCTTAAATTTTATTTTTATTTTTCTAATATTTTTTTTTTAGTTTTACAATATAAAATTTAAATACTTAATATTTAAATGTTATATTATTAACCAGACTATAAAAGATAAATAATTATATCTCAATATTTATTCTAAAAACAATATAGTTTTTTTACAGTCATTTTATTGTTAAACATAGTTAACAAATTGTTAATTACATTATATTTAATTGTATAATTAATTTATTTATTTTTTTACACATTAAACGGGCCGTGTCGGGTCGGGTTTACCCATTTACCCGACAAAGCCCTGATAACCCATTGATAGAACCCAACTCGAACCTGAAGTTCACTAGCTAGTTAACGGGAAGAGTAAGGGTAGTATAAATTCAGGGGCGGTCCCAGATGTAGGCGATCCTAGGCAATTGCCTAGGCTCAATTTTTTTGTTAACATAATTATCATTTGCTAATAAAAAATTTATATTTAATATGTGCAAAATTATGAATACAAGTTTTTATTTTAAAGTTATAAACACTTCTTACAAAATAACATCTTTGTTTTTATTTAAATAGATACACCTCACCAGTCAGGTTCGACGATATTATATCATAACATTTCTAGTCAGACCATATAATAAGTTTGATAGATAAATTTATTGTTTTTCAATTATAAAATATTTATATTTTTATTGATAGAGATAAGATTGATATAACTATTTAAATTTATATATAAAATATGACTGTCAAATTATAAAATGTCAAAATATGACTAATTTAAGTCATCATATATAAAAAATGATAGCATATATAAATGTTATTGAGTTTTAAAATATATTTACAATCTAAGTAACACAAGCGTTTAATTTAGAAGTTTTGGATAAAGATTCATATTTGTATGGACTATGTCGAATCCTTGGATATTAGTATATAGAATTACAAAGCGTTGAAAATTGACATAAAAACCTCTACATTTATCCATAAGAAGATAATCAATTAGAATTTTTTTATAAAATAACAAGAACAAAAATGATGACATTCAGGCTTTTCTTAAATTAATAAATTGTATTTCAAAATGACTTGTTTATTTCTTATTACAAAAAAAATGAAGGAAAAAGGATTGTAAAGTATTTTTGATATATTTATTAATAATAATAATAATAATAATAATAAATAATAAAACAGAAAATAAAATAACGAGACTTCATTCTCAATTTCATATTTTAGCATCAAGTTAACGCAAATTAAATAAGGAACCACTCAACACCCGATTATTTCAATGATCTATTTAATTGTTAATACAAGTACTTAGTTCAATATAGTTATAAATTTCTTCGAACTATTTTTTGCTCTGAATGATAAAAATTTATGAATTCGCCGTTGGATAAATTATATATTGGTCGGGTTCGAGTTTGTCAAAACCCGCACCAGACTCAGACCCATTTAGCTCCCTAAACACAAGGTGCAATGTCCTTGTGCAATGTCTTCTCATAGGGAGTTATATCATTTTTCTTGGAGCTATCCATAAATGCCTCTCATCTAATTCTGCTCAAAATCACATGGTCCCAATCATTTATAACAATAATATACATCGGAAGTCAATTATGATTGTGCAAATACACTTAATTAATACTAATTGCATTTTTTTTTTTGGGTACAGAGACTTTTTGGTCTTCAGATTTACAAGAGAACCGACTAATCCGGAATCGAGACGAGTAGGACCACAAGATACTAATTGCATATTTGCATGTGCTTTAACACACATAAACAGTTGGGTAGTTGTAATTCTTCATTAATAGACTATACTATTTAATTCAATTAATTAAAAAAAAAAAAGAACTTCTGTTGTAAAATAATTTTTTTTATTAATATTTGTTAAATTAATTGTTTATGATATCCATTATTTGAAGGAAGATATTTTGTAACACACAATTTGCGTAAATTAATGATTTGCACACCAATTATTTGACGGGTTAACTGTCGCATGCCAGCTATGTGTTAATAATCAACACCCTGTCTGCTATAATGCGCCAAAATAAATATTCTTATTACATAATAATATATGTTTTTTAATTTTTAATAATATATTTTTCTTAAAAATGAAAATTAGTCTGCCATACAATTCCCTCCAATTTCTCCACTGGGACCACGACTTTACAAAAACCATCGCCAGTTTTCATGTCGCATGCACAAAACGCGATTCTCGTGTAAACCAGCCACGCCATTGCAGGCACTGCAGAGAAACTAACGGTAGCCGTTCACACCATCTCCCTTTAAATACCTTCCCCACGACCACGCACATTTCTCACAATCACAAACCCACGTACAGTTTCTTCCTCCATAGAAAACGCACAAATCACGCAGTGAAGGGAAAATAAGAAAAAAAAAAAGCTCAAGCGAAAATGAGGGAAATTCTCCACATCCAGGGAGGACAATGCGGGAATCAGATCGGCTCCAAGTTCTGGGAGGTGATCTGCGGCGAGCACGGCATCGACGCCACCGGAAAGTTCGGCGGCGACGCCGCGTCGGACCTGCAGCTGGAGCGCATCAACGTGTACTACAACGAGGCGTCCGGCGGGAGGTACGTCCCGCGGGCGGTGCTCATGGATCTGGAGCCGGGGACCATGGACGCCATCAGATCCGGGCCGTACGGGAAGATCTTCAGGCCCGATAACTTCGTGTTCGGGCAGTCCGGGGCGGGGAATAACTGGGCCAAGGGCCACTACACCGAGGGCGCGGAGCTGATTGACGCCGTGCTCGACGTCGTCAGGAAGGAGGCCGAGAACTGCGATTGCCTCCAAGGTTTGAACAATTTTTTCGATACGAGTTGTGTGTTAACAACTCTAATTATTGTGGGATATGGAATGGTCTTTTGCATTTTGATATTCGTTTATGTTGTATTTTGTTTCTTGCTTTAGATTTCGAATTTGATGACGTGATAATGGTCCCAACTTTTGTGCAATGTGGTCACAGATGTGCATCTGGGATTGCTGAATCGAAATTCGGATATCTTTTCCTGTAATTGGGCCTAGTGATTGCTTTATTTATTGATCGGGCTTTTATTGAGTTCATTGTTATTCAGATATGATATCCTCTTTTCCTTGTCAGCTCTGCTTTACATAGGGGAATATTATTTGCAAACTGTTATCAGCATAAAGGAAATTTGGGGTTGTAAGATGTTGTGAATCGCATATTGTGATTTGTTCAACAATGATATGTTATGGTTCATCATCATTCGTCATATAAATTTTGTATGTGAAATTCTGTGACTCAGGGGTAAAATTCCCTGTTTCTCCTATGGATCAAAACTGAATGTATGCTATTTTTGTCAGTATGTAATTGTTGTTTCCTCAATGAAGGTAGATTTATGGATCTTAGGACAACATTCATGAGATGTTATTAATGAAAATCTAATTGTCCTTTGTTACAAATGGATTGGTTGTATTCTGACTACTTTACAGATTATGCCTTTTTCTTTATTGTATTTGACATGCAATCTTGTATTGATAAGCAACAGCTAGGGGTTGATCCATGTTTACAATTGCAAATCAAATTTCCCTTGTACTTGACTTACTTTTGTTCATTTTATCCACACAATCAGGATTCCAGGTGTGCCACTCCCTCGGTGGAGGCACAGGGTCAGGCATGGGCACCCTCTTGATCTCCAAGATACGGGAAGAATACCCAGACAGGATGATGCTCACCTTTTCCGTTTTCCCTTCACCAAAGGTCTCCGACACTGTGGTCGAACCCTACAATGCTACTCTTTCTGTCCACCAATTGGTTGAGAATGCAGATGAATGCATGGTCCTCGACAATGAAGCTCTGTATGACATTTGTTTCAGAACCCTTAAGCTCAGCACCCCAAGCTGTAAGTATTGGCTAATAGCATAACAGTATTCTTAACAGGGGAAAATGTAGTCTTCCTACATTTTCACTTTCATTTGATTCTGAAATATTATCTTTGTTCCCAGTCGGTGACCTGAACCACTTGATTTCGGCAACCATGAGCGGGGTCACCTGCTGCCTCCGCTTCCCGGGCCAGCTGAACTCTGACCTCCGGAAGCTTGCGGTCAACCTGATCCCTTTCCCCCGACTCCACTTCTTCATGGTCGGGTTTGCCCCACTCACCTCCCACCGCTCGCAGCACTATGCCTCCCTGACAGTCCCCGAGTTGACTCAGCAGATGTGGGACGCTAAGAACATGATGTGCGCCGCGGACCCACGCCACGGCCGCTACCTAACTGCCTCAGCCATGTTCCGCGGTCGCATGAGCACCAAGGAGGTCGACGAGCAGATGCTCAATGTCCAGAACAAGAACTCGTCCTACTTTGTGGAATGGATCCCGAACAACGTGAAGTCGAGCGTGTGTGACATTCCGCCTACAGGTCTCAAGATGTCGTCGACTTTTGTTGGCAACTCGACTTCCATCCAGGAGATGTTCCGGCGGGTGAGCGAGCAATTTACTGCCATGTTCAGGCGCAAGGCTTTTCTGCATTGGTACACGGGTGAGGGCATGGACGAGATGGAGTTTACTGAGGCCGAGAGTAACATGAATGATTTGGTGGCTGAGTATCAGCAGTATCAGGATGCGACTGCTGACGAGGATGAGGACTATGAAGAGGATGTTGATGAGCAGTATGAAGGTTGAGTGAGGGAGTTTGGTTTTTTGAAGGGAAAGAGAAAAACAACTCTGTTTTTTCTCTTTTTGTTGTTCTTTGCTGTGTGTGTGTCGAGTGGTGTATGTATGTGTCTGATTTTGTGCGTTTTGTGTTTTGTTTGGACTGGGTTTGCTTGATTCTGCTACTATTGTTTCTTTTATTGTTTTTGCTGTTAATGGAATATGAATTTGTTTAGTATTTGTTTAATTTGGTGTTCTTCTTGCTTTTTCTCATATAAAGGATACTTCAGTCTTAGATGCTCTATCCCTCACGCACATACGCCAGCACGCGATAATACACACTCTCGATCAGGTCAGACTGGGAGCTCCTTAATCATTAATTTGTTTTGATGTGTGTGTCTTGAATACTTCACAAGGACTAGGATCAGAAGTTCTTTTAAGTCCATTTTT